GAACAACTCGAAAAAGACAGCGAATCTATCTTGGTGAAAAAAAAGAAGAAGCAACCTCGGCAATTAGAAATACTGTTACTCACGATGCTGAAAACCGTGGAACCCTTCCTATATTGGAACTCACTTCTGACAAGGAGTCAAATGTAGATCAGGAGCTTGCCAACTGCAACAAAAAGTTTGACATAACATCGTATAATAGAAGACAAGTTTGTGTCACCATCAATTAGTGCAATGTTAACAAACCTCCCTACATTCAGATTCGACTCTTCACTGCAAAAAAGAATGAAGCAATGAAACAAGTTGTCTATGTCAACTGTACTTTGAACGAATTCAAAGAACTGTCCCAATTTTTTGGAGACTTTATCTTTCCAGATAATTGTAAACTTCAGTAACGGTTTGTGATGTTTCGTATGTTTGGTAATTGAAATACTATTGGTTCAAATCTTTTTCTCTAACTGAAGTGTACATTTAGAGCTAGGATATCTGAGAAAAAGTCAGATAAAACATACAATTTAATCAAAAGTGATTTAAAACACTAATCAATTATCAGTCTAATTTCTAGTATTTGTTTAAGAAATTACACAAAAAACTTATTTAACTACTGTATTATCAAACTTAAAGTAAATATTGTCTTCCTTGAGCAAAATTACAATTAAGACAGTATATTTAATTGAGACCTTATCATTATTTTTCGAATTTCTGATTTTTATTGATTGTTTTTTAGTTTTTTGCCTAAAATTGAGGTTTTGATTGGCTACATGAACTACCTATAAATTAATTAGACTCTAAATAAGGGAAAAACTTTTTATGGCGATTGTTATCTCAAAATAAATTTAAATTGATAAAACAATTCGAGTTTTTTCAAGTTTCTTTGTTTTTTTTTAGTAAAAAATATGTTATCATCAAAAGCGTTTTCAATGTCTGAAATGAATATTGTTACAATGTCTGAAATGAAAAATGCACATTTTTTTCGAAATACTTTTTGCAATTTTCTCCAACTACTTGACCTTTTTCGAAGTTTCAGTAGGTTTCAACATAGTTTTAGCAAGATAGAGTACTGATTTAAAAAATAAGATCATCTATTAAAGAAATCATGAAGTCAAATTATATCAAGTATATCGTGTTTTGAAGTTTTTTGAAATAATTTTCAAATTTTTTGGTAAAATTTTAAATTTTTGTATATCTTACTATTGACAGGCCATGAACCAAAAAAACCATAATGCCTTCAATACACAACCGACAAGTAATACTCACCAATTAAATAACGCGTACCCAGATTTTTGCCGAAAAACTAGACATTTCTACCCAAAATCCAAACAAATACCCTTTTTCTTACCATTCTTTTACCATCACACTGAAACCTAACCATTCCATATCGTAATACATTGGGAAATCTATTCACTCTCTTAATGAATTCTTAATTCCCTACAATGAATTTCTAATCCTTATACATAGTGAAATCTATACACTCTCCGAATACATGGTAAGATCGGGCGCCGAGAAAATTTTCGGAAACTTATCATCACACTGAAACCTTACCATCTTAATACATTAGGCAACTTTTTCCCTATCTCAATACATAGGAAGTCTATTCCCTATCTCAATACATAAGTTGATGACCGGATCCTCCATTCCCTATCTTAATACATGGGGGTCACCACCCAACCCGCCACCCCCCACCTCCACTCTCCCTCACTCGTCTACTACTCACAATATAGTTGTGAAGTGGTTTCCCCCTCGACACAAATTATGAGTTTAGGTTGCTGAAATCCGGCAAGCAGAAGCGACAGTTCATGATGGTGCATTCGCAGCTGATAGTCCACGTGCACGTCCTAGTGTTCTTAAAGTAGCTCCAGTAAAAAGCTAATAGTCTGTTTTTGAGTCCTTGTCTGTCGAAGAAGGGGATAAAATTTGGAAGGGTATTCACGAGTCTTGCTGTTCGGAAAAAGAAGTTCTGCTCGCATACAAGTCTCTTCGGTCGTTCCATCACTATCTTCTGTTTGGTCGAATTTCTAATTTTGTTTTGGTGATCTGCTGGTAAAATGATATGATATGTCCAAGGAATGTCGTAGTTTTCTGATATAATTTTCGAGAGTGTGAGCAAGTCAGAAACATCAAGGAAAAGCGTGTGTGGCAACAAGTTCAGAGCATTAAGCCTCGTAAAGTAGTCAGCTTCAAAGTTACAAATCCATGCAGTGAATCTACGTTGAACAGGCTCAATGTGACGCATATTGGTTTTGTTGGCATACCAACAGCTAGACGCATAAAGCAAAACAGCATGACCATCGATTTATACAAATTAGGTTTGCTCCATGTGTTAGGACAAGGCGAGTGTTACGCCGGAGAAAATGACAGACGCCAATAGCATTTTGACGATATTATGTATATGTAAAGACCAGGAAAGGGAACTGGTGACTGTTAATCCAAGATCAGTGATGCTCTCAGCCCGAGGAATAACACCATTGTCAAAAAAACTAGGGGACTCACCGGAGAAGGTCAGATGATGACACTTGGTGACGTTAAGCTTTAACATGTTGTCAGAAGTCCAATATCTGGGAAAACACCGGTCTGCTTGATCTTGTAGAACAAGCGAGATAAGGAGACAGCAAGAGAGCTACATCACTCAGTAAAGAGAATGGGTGGAAGATTGTCAGGACCAAGATTGCTAATAGCATGAACAGAAGTGTCAAAGTCGTCAACAGTTGCAGTGGAGACCGTAAGACACTGCTGAAGAAAGACACTGTTGAAGAAAAGATTAAACAGCTCAGCTTGTTTTTGGGATGAGAAGTACTAAGGTCACCATTATGAAAAGTAACAAGAAGAGGACCATCCCCACGGAAACTCTTGAAGAACTTGAAGAGGCGATCAGTAGAACGCGTACCAGATAGCTTGGATTCGTAATCAGCTTTATCAGAAATCATGCAAGTGTCGACTTCATCTCTGAGGGCCAGTAGACGAACAAGAGGACGGATGGCATTACTAGCATATCGGACTTCCATCGTGTGAAGGCGCTTCATCTTATCAGAAGTACTGGATGTTTCCAAGGAGGAAGCTTAGAGCGATGTTGAGTGCGAGTTGGAACAAAGCGACACAGAAGACCTTCGAGTCAAACGTACCATTACTTGAGAAAGACATTTGGATTGGACCAACAAACTGGAACAAACGGATTAGAATCTATAGCCGCACCAAGAGAATCGAAGTCTGCTTTACAGTAGCTGAGACGCAGAGGAGTAACACCGCAGGACATATCGCTAAGATTATCAGTGCGGATAATGGTTTAACAGGAATATGATAAGAGAGATGACAATTGTCGTTCGAGTAGAAATCATGAAAGGCAGAGAAATGCTGGATGTGAAGAACAACATCAGTCGACCGGCAAATGAACAAGTCCAGAATGTCACTACCACGAAAAGGGAAGCAAACTTGTTGAATAAGCTGCAGAGAATCAATACAAGAAAGGAAAGTGCGATCATACTCGTGATGAGACTCATAAGTATCCCAGTTGACATTTGGGGAGTTGAATTCACCGGTGAAAACAATGTCGTCGAAGTCGTTGACGAAAAGAGCAAGGACACTGAAGAAGGTAAGCAAATCAGAAGCGGGCACACGGTAAGGACTTTCTACGAGGGTTGTAAAAACAGATGACAAGAAGACAAGAACTCGGAAGACGGACAGAGACAGCGACGCAAGTACAGGCGACACAGGCAGGGTAAACATCAAGATACCTACTAGCAGCGATCAGAAGTCAGCCATGTGTGCTAACACCAGAAGAGCCAAGATGCCTATGAACGCGGAAAAAAAGATACCGAGGAAGGAGGAGCACTGAGTCAACACAGTCGGGAGTGAGCCAAGTCTCTGTAGCACAAACAAGGCTAGGAGAGAAACGAGACACCGTCTGTACCAGTGCAGAACGCCTCTGCAGACGGAGAACGCTACGAACGTTGTATGTGATATTTCAAAGGTCTTCAGGAGTCCTAGACTTAGCTAGTCAAGATTCTTGATTCCTAGCATTGTCGTTTCTTATTTCAATTTTACAACTTCTTATGCGTATGTTCTTTCCAGACACTCCGCTTGAGAGAAGTTTTCGAAGGCTCAATTTCACACGGAGAAAGATCATTTGACATGTAGATTTTTGGATTATAATCATGGAGATTAACCAGACGGGACAATTTTCAATTTTTCTCGCAAAACGATCCCACGGAGACAAGAACATCCCTAGCTTTATTTTCATTGAATGAGTCGAGACGACGAGCATCCATTATTTGGCCTTTGACGCCCAAAAAGTCAAATAATTTACGAACTTGCGCTACATCCTCATCAAGCCGCTCATGCTTCTGGCCACTTGAATCAGGAATGCCTCTTATCCGTATACCGTTAGGGTCTGCCTCGCGGGATTTGGTAGCAATTTTTTGAGGAATTTCCATTTTACTTTAAAATTCAACAAAACCAGAAGTAATACTCCGAACTTGTGCATCAATTTTACCTGTCAGTACTGGCTCACTGTACAAAAGTTTCTGCTCAGGAGCAGGTTCGTAAGATACATGGGAGTATTTGATCATTTGCAGTTCTTCATGAAGTTTCGCTTGCTGCTGATTGAGACGATCACCCGAGTCGAGATTTTTCACCTAATTTGAAGCAAGATTTGAGCGGTTTGAGCGGTTTTTTAGACAATTACGCTCAAAATCTTGCTTCAAAATGAGCGGTTTGAGCGGTTTTTGAACGGTTTTATCTAAAAAAAACCCGCTCAAAAACCGCGCAAGATTTGAACGGTTTTGAGCGGTTTATCTAAAAAAAAAACGATCAAAAACCGCTCAAATCTTGCGCGGTTTTGACCGAACATCTTCACCTGGTTTGCGAGCATTGCTTCGAAAGTTGCAGTATGGTCCTTGTCGTTGATCGGCGATTGTTGAGCAATTTTTGTGATAACGAGGTCTCGATTGCCGTCATCTGCACAGGAATTGCAGAATAGCAGAACATTGACTCTAACCAATTTATACCCATCAAGGAAAATTTTTGGGAAACCGGTACAGTCCTTGGTCCAGTGGAATTTGGAACAGCAAGTGAAGCATGAACACAGGTCGCCTGATATCACCTTCGTACACATCTGGCAGTTGTGGGTATTTGCCAGAGCCCCCCTGACTCCGCTGCCGTCATTCAATCTGAAGCTATTTAAAAAGTTTAAAACATTCACTTTTGTGGACACTGACAATGAAACTAAATTATAATCGAATTTTTTTGCACTTTACTGAGATGCGAATTTCAATGCACATAAAGTCTTTTCTACGTTTCAAACTAAGGTTGGTTACGTTGGTTACATGTTGTTCAATTTAATTTTTTTTCTGCCTAACTTTGATATTTTTGTTACTTTTTATATTACTCAAAAACAGAATTTTGTTCCTTTCAACAATTTTGGTTAATTTATTAGAAACTTTGGGGGTGGGGTAAAGTTGAAGGTGGACTAATCCCCCTTCCATTACCCCCCTAGCGTTTGCCGATTTACATTACCCCCCTAGCGGAGCAAAAGGGGCAAACGTTAGGGGGATTGAAGGGGCGCAAAGGATCAAACGTTAGGGGATGGGGGGAGAGTTTAACGGAATCTTTTTGCGAATTGAGTTTAGTTTTAGAAATGGATCAGGCCGTACACTCACTTTGCAAAGTTCCCGCATAACTCACTTGATAAATGCTGAAATTCTTGCAAAATTTTGCACGAAGCGCGAAACAAAAATAAAGTGGAAGAATTCCATTTTAATGTGATTTCCTACTTATTATAAAATCCATCATAGCCGATTCCAAATGAATTATAATGTATTTTGTTTTGGCAAGAAAAAATGGATTTAAATCCATTTTTAGTCCAGTTTTTTTGTCTGAACGTAACATGGGAATCGATTATATTTACAACACTTCAGACCACGAAAATCCATTATGATCGATTTTTTTCCTAAATGCGGGAAGTCAATCAATGTGATCAATTTTCTGTTCTATGCGTACATAAATTGAAATTACAAAAACGCAAAATTCAGAAAATTGGGCGTAATAAATGAAACGACCCAAATGTTGCTAATTCATGGCTAATTTTTGAGCTTTCTGCATAAATTAGCTATTTGGGTAAAACCAAGGATGGCGACCGCAGTGTTTTCGAATTTCCATTGCTAATTTTGAATCAAAACTCAACCTCAAGTTCGAAGTCCCCTTTGCTAGTTCCTGAGCGTCATGCTGTTGAAATTCTATACTTGATGTATCGCACGTGGTTTTAGCTTGCGTCGAAGAATCTGTAGCTTGCATCTTGATGTATTGCAAGTGGTTTGAGCTTGCATCAAATGAGGATGCTTCGCCTCTGTGATTCAGCTGGCATCGAGGAAACCTCATGTATTACTATATATAATCTATGAAAAACAATGAAGAGCTTCTAGCAGTTAAATTCAATTTCTTATTCACATTAACAAATCATTTATGGTTTTTCAACCTTAGCTCACAGCTTATTTCAGCCAAAATTTAGGCTTGCTGAGTTGAAACGGAACCCATAGATTTAATACCACTACATATATTTTTACTCCTGAAAATAACTTTTAATAAAATTAAATTTAAATAAATATATTTTTTCTAAATCAGCCTTATGAAGTCTTTTTTCTAGTTCCATTATGGCGTCTGGTGCAACTTGACTATTTCGTTGATGAAACTGTCGTAGTTTATGAGGCCATTCTTTGAGGCATCCACCTAGACAACTATTTTTCTTCATCAACCCATGTGATTTCTAACCAAATTTCGGATCAACCGTACAACTCCCCCCCCTTAATTTTGAATGAATATAGACTATTCCTAATTTGATTGGGAGGGAGGGGGGATTGTACTGTTGATTCAAATTTTTAATTAGTTAACGCATAAAAATGCAGTAGATCGCGTTTGCCCGAAAAACTTGGTTATATTGTTCAAGTGTTCTCCATTAAGATGGCTGAATCGATCGATCCAAAAAGAAAATTTCATTCATACTCGTAAATATTAAGGTGTGAGAACAAAAATAAGGAAGAAGCGCTCAAACGGTTGTAAATTGCAAGTTTTAAAACATAATTTGAGCAATGCGGTCAATCAAAATATGTTTATCCAGTACACACTGTTTTTTGGGCGAAGAAAAGAATAAGAATCATCATGCCAAGTTACCGCGGGTTTACATTTAACGAGCCGTGGCTTCGTTGCCTAATGATCAATTTAAGCATTCCCATGGGCGTGAAAAACTGCAATTTCTTTTTGCAGTCTCTCTATTCCTACCATTAAAAACAAAAACCTTTACGGCAGTTATTCACAGAAGCATATAGTTCATAATGTTCATAAAGTTTAAGGACAAAAATTCCCATGCCGCATCTCTGATCGAGCAAAAACAGTAATTAAAATTTCTCGTATATGAGGGCAGAGCCCTGAAGGTTCCGACTGCCCTGTTAATGGTCTCAACGAACATAGCCAATTGATGTCAATATAAGTGACCAGATCTTACATTTTAAAAATGAAACTTAGTCATAATCTTGTCTCATATTTTTGACACATAGAATAATGCTTGATATATCATTTATTTTGATTTTAATCTTTCGTAATGTTTTAGAAAAAAGTATCAAAATTTGCACTTTAGATTGTCTGAAATAATCTTTAAAAATTTTAAACTCTTTGATTGCATTTACATCTTTGTATATTGAATCATTGTATATCTCGTCGGAGATGGAAAAATGGTCTAAACTTTTTATTAGTTTGTTTTTTTTTCTGTAAAATTCCATTTTTAACCACCTGATTTCCATTGCAAGATTACTATTCTTCTACAGGTGAGCTTCTTACGTAAAGCACTGGTCGCAGTTTGGAAAAATGACCCCTTTTCTGCTTGTCATTTGAAAATGCTTTGCATAACCCTAACTGCGACCCTTTTCCTTCTTGCTACGAAAAGATAATTTCCATAGCAATGGGTAATTGCAGATTTTGAGCTGAGCTAGTTGTCACAAATAATTGTGCTAGTTCTTCCTTAGAGTTTGATTTTCTTCGTAAGTTTACTAGAACTATTTACTAGAAATTGGTTTCGTCCAGCTTCTTTCACGCTTTTATAATCGTCCAGTTTCGCCATAGCATTTTTTCTCTCAGTTCAGTTTTGGTTTGGCCCAGCTTGCTTGCCGCCTTACTAGTCACCTGTAGCCGTCTACGTTATTTCTTCAGAGCAAACTTTTTTCTAAAAGTTGGCTCCGTTCAAGGTTATTGTCGCCTTGCTAGTAAATAGCTAATTGATGGACAAGCCTTATATCACAATGTCTCTTTGTTGCAATCGTGGCAAAAACTAAAAATCTTTTGAATGGACGCGTTTCAATAGCAATGTTGTTAACAAGAAAGTTTTTCAACCTTCATAGTCCATTCGTCTATATAAAATCAGTAAAATTCAGTGACGAGCCGACTATTTTTTTTCTGCCAAGATTTAGAGATTGGTAAGTGAGAAAGTGGGTTAAATACAGGGGCGGATCTAGGATTTTCTTGAGGCGAGGGGGGGGGCGGTTTTTGTTAATCTCGAGGCTTGGCGGTGGCTGATATCGAAGGGGGTCTAAAAAAAATAGTTGAAGGCGCGCGGTTTCTTTTCAAAATTAGAAAATATGGGCGCCCAAGTTGCCTTTAGAAAAAATTAGGGTCTCAAAAGTGGTTATCTCAAAACAGTACAAAAAAGGACCCTTGGGCCGGCAAGGGGTCAAATCCCTGAGTGAGAGGAGGCGTCCGCGTCACCCCCCCCCCCCCCCCCCTCAATCCATCCCTGGTGAGATAATTTACCTCTGGCGAGGGAGATTGCTTCTGTCGTCGCCTGCTTAGGTTCCTTAAAGAATGGTCCCCTACCCTAAATTGGTAGATCGAAAAACCGCAGCACCTATATTGATACTCGAGGACTTCGTGCCGAGTGTAGATTTAGGAATTTGCTTCTCTGGGTTCTTTCTTTCTCTTACTCTCCCTCTCCCTTAACTACAACGCAAAGTGGTTCCTTGGGTAGTGAGTTTAGCGGGGCGACTGAGTTTCACTACTTTCTACAATCCGGAAAGGGTTAAGTTGGTGCTACTCTGTACTGTATTATGTTACTTTCCTCCTTTTTGTCTGCTCTCAGAGCGGTGTCATCCGGCCTCACAATCGCACGAATTTCCAGAGGTAATTAACTTCAGAAAAATTAATTCCGATTACGCAAAGCTTTAAGTGACCAGAGTATTGTCTAACAATCTCATTGCAAACTATTTTCCAACTAACTCAACTAGATTTTTCTCTCTCAAAAATAAATTAACAAATTACACACGGTAACTCCAGACAATTACGCAATTTGAACTGCTAGAAATAATAGTGTCTCTACGGATCACTGTTCCTCTGAGGTACTTCAACTGATCTCGTTAACTTCACAAATCGCTGTTCTCAACTATGATGAGAACCAACTATCTAACAACTTTGCAATGTCCGTTCTCTGGTAATTGTTCTCTAACTAATTGAGAACCAACTGTTATTACGCAGAACCAATTGTTCACTGACTAACTAGGAGAGTCAACCGTTCGCTCTCACAGCGAAATTAGTCAGCCTAAGGATAGAATATCCGTAATTTTTTCGCACTTTGTCTATTTTAGTTTCAATTATGGTTAGAATTATGATTGTTAATACAAATCCTGAGATTTACTTTGTTACCCTTTTCGGAAGGTTTTAAATGAGACCTTACTCTGTCGTCACTAGTCCCAAAATCCATGTTCATTATAGGTATTTACAACTAAGTTGTGCAAATATCAAGCTATTTTTAACTTACCAGTCTCCCAATGTTTTTTTTGTAATTATCTGGTTCACGTTCCGACATCCCAGGTGTAGAAGAGGACCCTTTCAATGGGCCGCTAAATCATTCCAAGCATTTAAAATTTTGATATATTCATTATTATAATCCCGACCTTCTAGATATTAGGGGAGCGTCATTTGCTTATTAGAGGTCAAATTGTGCCAAAATTTCACCTCCATGAAGCTAATTGAGTATCCCGTCTGTTTCCACTACGGTGTTCCGATTGAGTTTCTTTTAATAGATTTTTCGCTAGGCTAAGATGAACCCATTGTTTGCACAGTCTACTTTAATTCTTTCCACTACTCTAATGTTGCAATGTAACAATCATATCTTTTT